ACGGGACAATGCCATGTTCGAGCCGGAACCGACGACTTCCATTGGGATGAGGAGCTTATTCAAGGACAGATCAATGGCGATAGTGGCAGCCATGTTGACATACCAGCAAGTCTCATCATCAGTGCTATGCTGGCCAGGAAACATCCACGGAACGTTGACCATGAATGCAAGCACAATCTCAACAGACTTGTGTCGGTTCGCGATAACTCTATGTGCGAGGGTCTTGCAATGGTTTGACAGTCTCTTGGACAAGGCACCAGCGGACGGAAGGAATAGGGCCGATGCGGCCATGATAGAGGTGCACAGGAAGGCAGAGCGCGAACGGGTGAAGGATGGAGTGTAGATCTTGGGATCAAGTCCCCATCGGGTGTGGGCAAGCTTGCCATGGAAGCTAGATGGTGAGTTTGACAAAGCTCTCATCGACGGTGGAGGCATGTCACTTACAATGCAAATAGCGATTCTGCCTCTTCTTCAGTTACGAGACCCATGATAATGGGATCTATGTCATCGCCGACATCGAAGTTGACGCGAACAGAGGTGAAGAAGGATTGGATCTCCAAGTCCTCGTCGGGTTGTTCGACCTGCTTCTTGCGACCGGCGCGGGGACCTGGCTGCTTTGGCGATAGGCCGCTGATGGGCTTGGGCGAAAGCTGTAGGTTCGAGGCGCGCGCCAGAAGTTGGAGTGGGTTTTCGGCATCGTCGATTGCCAGGCTCTCCTCATTGTGATGATGCAAACTCATATAAGTGTTGCTGTCTGGGGTGTTATCCAGGTCATCATCATCGTCAGATGAGAGGTCGGGTTGGTCGGGGCTGTTGAAATGCGATGAACCCCGCCTTAAGTGAGAGGAGGCGGTAGTTGACCGAGCATTTCGAGAGCCCTCCAGGAGCGCCTGGAGACTGCCGATGGCCTTGTCATCTTCCGAGTTGTGTTCACCGGTTCTGGCTCTTTTGATGGCCTGCTCTATCTGATATAGAGCTTTATCTAGGCCCTTTCGCTTGCTATTACACGTCCGACCAATGGTCAATACGACATCAGAGAGTGGAGGGGGAGTTGCGGTGCAACTCGGAGGGGTTGTCTCGGCCATGGGGGGCCATCTGGTCTCAACACCATTAGACGGGGGCGGAGCTGGGGGCCCTTACTTCTTGATTCCCTTCTGTCTTCCGGCGTGGAACGTAGGTCGTATGCACTCAGTGTCGAGCTGAATGCACCTCTTGCATTTGTTCTCATGCGGAGAATAGTCGCACTTGATCTTGCTTCGGCGGCAGACCAGACAGGCGGCCTGCTTTGGACGTAGCGATTGAGGATCCTCCATCCAGGTGAGGGGAAGGTGAGAGAAGCCCGGGTGCACTTTGGCGATCTCGGTGAAGAGCTAAAGTGCTCTCTGTACGGATAGCAGCAAGCGATAAACTTTGAATCAGAGGAACACGCGTTATTTCTCGACGGAGTGACTTTTGGGGCTAAGGTCGAGATGAGATCCAATATCAAAGCGGTCTGGTCTGATGACTTTTTGACGATACAAACACGCTACCCCTAGAGCAGACAGCTCTGCTGAAGATGGAAGTGCTAAAACATTGGAACATGCGAATCACTGACGAGAAGTCTACTTAATTGAAGGGTCCCCGCCAAGCACCAGCCATCAGGGAGGGAGGGAAGCTCGTCCTGTGACTCGCGTGAAGCCGGAATCATTGGGGAAAAGTGAATGAGGGCACGAATCAGCACACAGCTATGGACCCGTCTGCCGACTTGAAGGAGCTTAGTCATTCCCTCATCTCTCTTGGCAATTCAAAAGAGATTACATAATGTCTAAAGTCGAAGTCGATAGCTGTCTGGTCTTCAGGGAGCTGGTGCCACTGTTGTTGACGCCAAGGATACTGCGTAATACTTGGCTTGGCCACGCTTTGCTCTTAACACGGATAGCAACAAGAGCAATTGAATAAGTCACTGTCGATCACCAACCTCTTGACAGCTCTCGAATCCTCCCGTAGCTCTAGAGTAATTGTGAGTAAACAGGCAGAAGCAATGCCACAGCTACGCCTCCGCAAACAACTGGGTCCAGCCCAATCAAGGCCAAAGTCCCTGGAGTCGCACTCACCAACATGTCCCATCGTCCCATCAGCCCGCATCAGGAGTAGTTTAGGGGATCAACCACTGCTTGATGCCTTGCCGTATCGATACGGCTCATCAAGTTCACGGCACAGCGGCCTCGGCTATGAGGCCAATTTCGGACTCAATCTCACTTGAATCGAACCAACGCGAGGATCAGTACGGAGTACTTACTTAAGTACGGCACTTTGGTTTACGTAGATCCATATTCGAAGAAAATCTCTCTCAAGCTGAAGTTCCAATATGATTTAAGCTCTGTTCCCCCCTCAACCCCGCCGCCATGACACCATGGCTTGCTGCTAAGCTCTCACCGCAGCGATTCTCAAGGATTGCCACTACCATCTGTCACTTGCATACGACAGCAACAGCCCGGATTATTCATAGATCGAAAACGATGGCAGACTCAGCGTCCATCAAGCATACTACTCTTCGGAATGGCACGCCCAAGGAGGTTGCCGAATACCTCAAAGAGCTTCGAGCCAACGTCACCGATCCGACATCCATCACATTCAACCTCCATGATGCGGTCGTGCGAGGCTCCATCCCGCACAGCATCTTCTCAATCTGGATCCCCATATCCGACGATGCGAAGTCGATCATAGCATCGCTCAGTCAGTCGGGGAGCACGCACGAAAGACGTGCGGCCATCCGGGCATTCCTCAAGGCCATGCGATCAGAGGAAACGATGACTCCCGTATGGAATGCCGCAGGTGGTGCTCAAGGGGTTGCAGCAATCATGAGTGATCTCAGCGTCAAGGAGGTCAAGATGCTATGCAACGGCCTCGCCGGTACAGCTTCCCTCCCACGCGGACGATCGCAGAGACACGCAAAATTGACAGAATTGGTTGCAATCCTCGGAACCGGAATGCCGATTCCCAAGGAAAATCCAGATGCAAGGCCGCTATTATCTCATTACAGGAGAATCCTGCCGGCCTGCACGATCGATCGAGTAGCCGAGCATGAAGGGACATCGCCCAAATGGACAGCAAGACAACGTTCTAACTTACTTCGCAACCACCCAACATTCTACGAAGCCAAGTTCCTGGACTCCGTCTTTTCGAACAAAGAATCTCCTACTGCGAAATTCGATGCCGACACGTGGACACAGCTCATCAATAACAACTTTAGCTTCGCCAAGGAGGTGCTCCTCAAATTTCTCGACGCCGGCGATGAGCTGCCCGTCACGCCAGACGTGCTCATCAATAAGATTGCTTTGCCCCTAGCAAGACGCTTGCGACGACGTAAAATAGCCACTCAGCAGCATCCCCCGTTCGAGATCCTTGAGCTTCTCGTCCGGCTCATCAGCCGGCATTCCGATCTCCAAAGGATGCTAGATGATAGCCTTGTTGGTATCATGTTCCATGTCATCAAGTTCTGGGAGCATACCCGTTCGACGCGGCCGCAGGTTGAGCAGTCTTTGATCGAGCTTCTGAGACTTACGCCCGAGACAGGGTGGCAATCGGCAAAACAGATCGTTCCGCATCTATATGGAGTCAATCCGGCCGTATCCTACCGATTATTTCGACTTATGCTCCGACATCTACCTGCCTTCGAATTCGACATCGACGACGCTATGGTCAACGAAAACAGCTCGCTCGAGAAGATCAAGGGACCATGGCCAGCAAGATTATTCGCCAAAACGTTCGGATGTGATGATCGGCTTGCGTCCCTCCGCTTATTCCAGCGCTTGATGACTGCTTTCCCTGACGGACGTTTCCTAAAGTCTTCGTGGGAGCCTACGGAGAGTTCAGTCTTTGAACATGATCAAGATTTTTCCTCTGTCAACGGTGACGCATTAGTACTCGAAGCGTTTCTTTTGCGAAGTTCGCCGGCTTCAGGCCTCCCGGATGCACTTCTTGAAAGTAAAATAGACGCAGATCTGAGGAGACGCAGAAGAAAGGCATCATCAAGCCGCGATTGGGAAAGCAGAGCCTTCTGGGCTCGGTCAACACTCAACCTTGCCATCGCGGCGGGCTCGTTAGATCTCTACGCAGAGAACCTGCTTTGGGCGAGACGCTTCGACAAAGACGTGTTTACAGTGAGGGATCTTTACTCCGAGCGGGCCATAAAGACTGCCGAGGGTTTAGACTTACTCAGCGGAATTGAAGTGGCTTCTCATGCCGGCAAGCCAAATTTCGATGCCGCGAAGTCCATCCAGTCTGCGAACAAGATCATTATGCAGCTGCTGGAAACCGCATCAATGTCCCTTCGAGAACCTAGCTTCCAGGCTCACGACTGGCACGCCGTCGTTCAATTGCCTGCAGCTGTGGTTAAAAGACGGTTGCAACTGGTCAATAAGTTTCAAGACGCTCGAAAGCTGACCGATGCTGAGATCTATGAGATCGTTTGGCTGCCAACTTTGGACTTCTTGGTTGAAGTAGAGACTCTCGTGCTTCATCCTAGTCATCACGAACTCTACCCTGACGGAACAGATGGGCTGTATCCCGTGGGGGACTGTTTTGAAGCGCGCGAAAAGCGGTCCCACGCCTACAAATTCGTGGACAGGCTAGCCAAGGCACGCAACGAGTTATGGCAGAAGCACCGCCCTCAGCGTTTTCCATCGGTCCTTACTTTGGGCGAACCCTGGCCAAAAGGGTTGCCGGTGCAGTCCCTCTTACCGGCCAGATTCCTAGGCTTGCAGAACATTGATGCTATGTCTTACGTCCTAGAGAGGATCGAAAAGGTTATCTTCGGAGATCCCAAGGTCTTGCTCCAAGAGCTCCCCAAGGACAAAGAGTCTCGGGAAGCCATAGGTAGGTTTGTGGACGAATACAGCTTTGCCTTGAAATCATACGTCGACGAAAGGGACGAAAGCTCTCGGCAAGAGCGCACTCGTAAAGCCTGGCGTCATGCAGTTGATAGCCTCAGCGGTCCGAGAGTGACGAAGATTGAAGCCCTACGGCTTTGGAAACAACGTTTCGAGTCCGCGGGCGTCTCATTGCCCCCAGACATCAAAGCAGAATTCCCGCGGCGAACCAAGCCTTCGCTTCCCAAAGCCGAGGATCCAGAAACGCCAACAGAATGGAATCCAGATCCCAGTCACACGGAGTCTGAAGATCTGAGCGGCAAGAAAATTCCCGTGGCGATCTTGGACGAGATGATAAGCTGTGCCGACATTGGCTTGGGTGATGATTCGGCTTGGATGACGTCTATGTGGTCAGATGCAGAGAAAGTTCCGCCCATGGATGGCCCCGATTTCTGGAACGCAAACCAATTCTCACGGCCTCTTCCCGGGAAAAGTGTAGATGCATACTTCGCATCCCTTCTCCTCGCTCTCAACACCATCCATGGCTCCGACAGCTCAGTCTTGAAGCACCCATTTCCATCAAAGGTCGATGTTCGATATCCGGCACTTTACCTGGATCAGGACTTTCTTGAGACCGTTGACGAAGCCTTTCCACGCGGCAACGAGGCCCGGGTAGAGCACCTTCTCCAGTCTGGTCCGCCAGCACTGCTTGTACAGGTCGTGCAATCAATACTCCGGAACGTAGCCGCCAACGAGAAATCAGAGTCTTCAACGCATGCTCGCATTCAACTGGCTATGCAACTTATCAAACTGCTAGCGAACAGCGACCAGCCCTCTCTGGCCTTCCCCCTCATCAGAGACGTTGTTCTCAACAGACCAGGCGATAGCGCCTGGCACCGACAACTTCTTACCAAACGACTCTTCAACTCCATCCCTCCAAAAGAGACGAAGAGGCTTCTCTCCATGATCTCACTCGGCATGCAGGAGAAGCTTGAGGAACAGCATGTCAGATACAAGAAGGCCAAGGAGGAGGGTGGTGAGCTAGCAGCCCAGTCTTCACCCGCCGTCAAAGTTACAACGGTCAAGATGCTCGCAAAGCTTCTGAGGGATGCGCCGTTCCTAGATATCACATCGGCTGTTGATATCCTCTCCGGTCTTCTGACCAAAGCTCAGCATATTGACATTCGGGTGGCTATCATTCAGACCATGTTCGACACCCTGGAGGCTGAGACAGCTTCGCCCAATGTGAAGAACCGGATTCTCATGGTCATTGAGGACCTCGCTGTGCCACTCGCAGCATCTCTCGATGAGCTGCGTCCGATGACAGAAGTTGATTGGAAGCAAGCAGAAGCTGATGGTGAGCTGCCCGAAGTAGTCAAGGCAAATGATAGAATTGCAGCTCCTATCAGGTTTCTGTTCTATGATCTGGATACGAAGCTCCGGAACGACCCTGTTTCTCAAGCAAAGCTGGCCGGTATCACAGATCGATTGATATTGCAGTCCGCAGAGAACAACAGACGGTGGCTGGAGCTGTTTCTCAGGAAGAACGGGTTCTCGTTGCCTCCCGGAGAGAGCCTTCCACTTTCACCAGTCGATCCCGCCATGCTCAAGATCTTCCCAAGAACTCGGGTGTACTTCTCGCGACCCATGCTTGAGATGCTAAGCCGATATGCTCTCGCTAATGTTCAACCCTCTCCCGGCATGGCAGCCATCACCAAGAAGATCGAGAGCAATCCTACCCTGGAAAATTCGAATGCAGGAAAACACTGGTTGCTGCTCTTTGGCAGAAATGAGCGACAGATGGTCCAGCATGGCTGGACAGACTGTCTGGAGCATATGCATCTACCCCACATGAGCAAAGAAGTCGCTGACCCGAACGACCGCATCACCGTCGACATGCTCCAACGTTTCGCGGAAGACTTTGCACACAGGCTTATCAGCCATGGAAACCCTTCTTATGTTGAATTGCTGTTCAGAAACTTGTCTGCTCCGATGTTGAGGGAGAATAATTCCGAGGCGTTGAAGAGCTGGCAATCCACAACGCAGCCGGTGCTACGGTCGATCATCGCGAGAGTCAAGGAGTCACGCACTCCTTCATGGCAGCGTGACCCGATGCGAGAGCCCAAGGTTCTGCCAGATATATTCCGCCTAAAGGTGGCGATGTTGGCTGTCCCTCCTGGGGGTGCTGACATGGATTCTTTGTTTGCCAAAGAGATTTCGGCATTGATTGACGAGTTGGCAAACGAACATGCCCTGTACCACAACCACTGGGAACATCTGAAGGACCAGCTGGGACGTGAGTTTCACAGTTGGAAGCCACGCCTTGTTTACCTCGCCATCATTCTGGGCGATCTCTCAAACGTGAATATCGAAAGCCCCACGCTAGCAGATTACATGCGAGTCGAAATGGCCAGGGATTTCACGAAGCGGGCTGATGATCCCAAGGGCAGAAATGACGCCGATAAGTTGAAGGAGATCCTGCGCACTTGGGAAGAGTCCCCTGTCGAAAAGTTCAGAAGTGACCTGAGGGATATTATCGCATTAAAGCCATCATATAAGTGAGGGCTCCGGCGAGGATTAGACCACATTAAACGTCCGCAACCCCATTTGTATCATTCCAGACTCTACTTCTTTCAAGCCTGTACATTATAGTTCGACAGAACCGAAACTTCGCATTATACTATCTCTCGGCTCTTAAGTACCTGGTTTCATTATCGGCATAGGTACAGGGGCCACGCCCACTGATCGAGGCCCAGCATGAACATCCCTTTGGCACTGCGGATACGCCTGACAGTTTTCAACGTGCTTTAGTATGATTCCCCTCCTATTCCTCGACGAGATGATTAGCGAGGGCCTGGCCCCCTCGCCAAATTCCCATGATGGTGCTAGACCCGGTGTTTGTAACCCGTTATCGGTTAGTAGTACCGATGAGGCCTGCAAACAAATCCTTCATGGGCATTCTCTGCCCTTGTGACGGGGGTAACAATGCTACTGTGCTACGTCACCATCGCGCAAAGTGTAAGTATAATGTGGTATTCATCCGAAGCTGCGATCGTCTCAAGTCGTATAACTCGAGGGAAATCACGTGTCGAACTCTCTGTTCGGAAGTCCGTCGTAGAATCGGATGTAATGAAACCATTAAATTCCTTCTCGTGCTTTCGACATCTTGCCTCAACCTTCATGATCATATTGCTGGACTACTCACTCAGCTGCATGTTGATCACATCCGCAATGGCAATCCGAAACACCAACGGCAACTCTGGCCAGCTCCGGGACAACAGGGTCGCAATCATAGGGGCGGGGTTGACTGGATTGATCGCCGCACAAGGCCTGAAAAATGTAAGTAGGTGAGCATTGAACCCACCCGCGTCAGATGTTGACATATATCAGAATGGATTCAACGTAGTCGTTTTTGAACGTGACGAAAGCATCGCGGCTCGGCCGCGGGACTGGTCGATCCTCATTGGCTGGGGCATGAGCACGCTCAGAGAGCTTTTACCAGAACAGATTTTGCAGGACTTTCCTCAGGGTATTTGCAATCCACACCTAGATTTCAACGATTGGGACGAGAGTATTATCGGATACAACGGCGCTACCGGTGAGGTCATGTTCCAAAACTCAACTCCCGGCGCTCGGCGGATCAGCAGACGTCGCCTTCGGAAAGTCCTCGCTGAAGGGCTTGATGTTCGATGGGGAAAGTATCTCGATCGAATAGAGTCCAACAGCCCGTCGGTGGAGCTTGCATTCAGAGATGGAGACACATATGAAGCCGATTATGTCTTAGGAACAGACGGCGTCTCCTCAAAAGTCCGAGAGCTGCTGATGGGAGTTGAAAAGTCCCGGCCGGTGCCGTCAGGATACTCTATTGCCAACTGTGTCTGCAGGTATGGAGATGCGGAAAAAGTCAAAGCTGTCGTGAAAGCACACTCTGTGTGTGCGCTCATGCTTGGAACGGCGAACCTTGCTGGTTGTGGTGGTGAGCATTTGGTTGATGCTCAACAAGTGGTCTGAAGTCACTAAACTAAGATTGTAGTCATATCCGCGGAAGATCCGAATGATATTGCCAGTTGGGAGACATTCTGGGTCAAAGTATGGCGCGGCCACTCGGTCAGCCTGAAAGGCCAAGAAGCCATTGACTATGCGAAGAAAGATTTATCAGGTATCTGCGAGCCTTTCCGCTCTGCTCTTGAGTGGACCCCCAAAGGAAGCTCCTGCTATCTTGACGAAATGAAGTACTGGCTTCCCAGTCCGTGGAAGACACACGATGGTAGAGTGACACTAGCAGGGGATGCTGCTCATCCCATGTTGCCTTGTAAGTCAGAGTTGTGGATGCATTTGCTAAGATAGCCTTGCGAAACTAACACTCCGTCCAGTTCGAGGCCAGGGACTTCAACATGCAATCATTGACGTGCAAAACTACATCAATGCATTGGTGAAGCTAAGAGATGCCCGCGAGGCGACTAGCCGCAAAGACATCATGGCGGCATACGGCGCAGATGTCGTTGAGCGGGGCTCCGTCGCAGTCGCTCAGGCTCTGAAAGAAGCCGAGAATTCGCTGAATCCGGACACTGTTGGGAATATGCTCATGGTCACCAAGGGACATGGGAGGTCTATATAGCTTCAAACAAGGTAGACAGTATCTACTCTGCTGATTTGAACCATGGCTCGCACATGGCACAAGCCCTCCGATTAGTCACTATCAGAAAGCACCCGAGTATCTTAGCAGTGATTATAAGACGTTGGTCCATTCTTTAGGTCAGACTTCTCTCTTACTTGAGTCTCACTAACGATACCTCTCGAATCGGGTTCCAGTACTGTAGCTTGGTGGAGAGAAAGCTGCGATGGTGAAGATATTCGCCGAAAGAATAATGCCTTGATTTCCGAGGCGAGTCAGTACGGGAAGAAATCTAGAAGCGGATATCGTCCACGAAGCTATTTCACGCCCGCCTGAACGCAATGAACGTTTCCAAAAAGCAATCATTGTAGGCGATATTCATGTGAGAATCGAAGGTCTCTTTCATTAAGGACCTACAGGCCGTCTCGGGCTGGGCTGCATGGTAAGATTCGATGCTGTCACAAGCACATGTGTTTCTGGACAAAGGCTTTGAGTGGCCTCAGGATCCCTTTCATTTGAACGAAACATATGGGCAAATACTATCGGCAGAGAAATGCATGAGATCACGATGCTGTCGTACTTGTCACAAACAGCTGATATCATTGAAGATGTCATGGGGCTATGGGGTATCTTGTGAGTAACACTAAAGGATAAAGAGTCTGTGATGTAAGTCATTGAAACAGCATTGCTTCTGCATTCATGTCTTTGTTTGACATGCAAGATCACTTACCGCCCGGCGATGAGGTAAATTGCAACAAGAACGCAATTCGCAAAGGACTCCTTTGGCTGTTTTTGTTTTTTTGTTTTAATCAAGGGCTCGACTTGGCCCCCAAAGATATAGAACCATGGGTTGAGTCTGCGAATGTTGATTTTCGTTGCAGCAACTTTGAAGTCACATTCTGTACGGCATCTTCTTGAGGGAGGAATCATCTATTCAAAGAACTCGAACCCTTATTTCGAAAACCAGCAAGATGGACACCCACATCAGCCAAGCCTTCCCTCCAAAGGACCCGCAACAAAGCGGCTCGCAGTCCAGTGAACAGTAGATCCCTACCATGCGATTCTTTAGGGTCAGGCATGCTGTGGTGCATAGGAAGAAGTGCACAGAGAAATCGAAACACTCCCAGAACCAGGAGTGTGGATGCTACGAGCGGCTGCCAACTAACGTCACTCTATGGCCACTCTCACGCTCCATATTAAATGAACGTTCGGATCCTGAGCACTGGGGACTTTTGACACCCCGTGCTTTCATCGACACGGCCCTTGATTGTGGTCCTGATTATCAAGACTTTGGAGACCCAATCGAAAATGAACAGGTTGACTTTAGAAAACTCAATGCCGCTTTATCAAGGGCCACATTCCTAATGTCGTCGACACAATTGGCAATCCCTATGTCTTTCAAACGAAAGACCGTTCTTTCATAGATTTCCCCACGTCCCAAGATAAAGCCCCAGGGGCACGGCTGGTCCCTAACACACCCGGTTCACTGGCAGTCATTTGCCTGGATGACGTGTTCAGAGGCTTGAAGACTATCGTAATGAGCATTCACAACTGGCAAGCGATGAAGTTAGGCACCGACATTTAAACACTTTTCAATCGCATGCACATAAAGACGGCAACCTGGCGGGTAATAGAGGACATGGTCGGAGGGCTCGATGAGTTCCTGAAAGACGAAAGTCAATGCGTAGCCATCACAAACTTGTCGATATTTGAACGCGGACAACAGCCAGTATAAAGACCTGAGTACCCTAAGGTACCTTAGCGATTGTATATGGCACGTAAAGATAATAAGTATTATCTACTCCGACTCCTCACTTGTATTCTCACTAGTGTCGAAACAATTTATTTCGTTGATCTCACCGGCCCTGCGATCTCATTCTTGGAGCCGAAAAAAAGGATATGCAATTATGTCGAGACTGCTATCTACTGCTATTTTGTCGTTTGCGAAGAGCACCATGAGGGGAAGCCGAAGGTCTGGGTTGGCGTGGAATACTTGCGGTTTGCTGAACTTTGGTCGTGCAAGGCGACAGAGCTGGGTCTAGAGTCAATATTAAAGAGCCAGAGGGAGGCGCAGGAGTACCTCGAGCTATATTGGCCAGTGGAGGACTATCATGGGGAGGAATGGAAGAGAGAAACTCCCAAAGTCAGATCCCTTGTGCCTTTCAGACTTCCTTCTGGTCAGGCAGTCAATGATGGTCAAGAGAGTGTCGTTGCGAGCTATTGGGATGGTCGAGTTTAGATAGCCCGTTAGAACTTAGCGTCCTAGGACCTACGGAGCTCTTCACTAGTTACTTTTTTTATCTCAAAACTTACGAAAAGATTCGATTGAAACATTGTGTCGAGTGAAAAGGAACAAACAAAACAAAATCTATGCTTGAATCGTTGATGCGTACCATCAGATACCTTACTTCTCTTCTCACCTTACCTGTGCTTTCCGTAGAGACCACCTGATACCATGACCTGACCTGACCTGCCATTGAGTGACTTGAAGTCACACTTGACATGGCATGTCGCATGGAGACAGAGATATGGAGGATCACAGTGAGACGATTAATCTATCGTTCTAGGCTAGGGGTGCAGAGCACGCCTGTATCCTCAAAGTTCAATATTTCCTTCACCTGCTTAAGCCTGTGCTGCTTACTTGGCTTGCCTTTGCCTCGCTGAAAATGAAGCTCACAACCCCCTTGCTATCTAAGTACCTAAGTAAGATACATCAAATGCCCTCTGTCAACTCACCTATTGACTCACTTTTACTTCTGTACTGCTCTTGACTCACCAGATGCAACATTTGTAGCGATCTCAGACCGACCTCAACACCAAACTCGTCAAAATTTCCAGTGTCAAGTCCACTCAGTCACGGAGAACACCGACAAGCTAGGAGAACGATCTCCAACCAAACAACCTAGGCTACCTGCGGTACGCAGCTTTATGGATTTCAATGGCCTAGAGAGGCCTTTCGGGAAGGGAAGAAGCAGAATCTCGAGTACAAACGTACCCAGTTCGTGCTGCCTAGGCATTCGACAAAGAAGAACACACAGCCTGAATCAGTAGTATCGAGATGCCCCCAAACTAAGTTGGCCAGAAACAAGATTATTTACTGTCGTTGTTGCCGTATTCCAGAGTCTTAATTTTACCCGCCCTCGGTATCCGATCTGGCTGCTATTCATGCTTCAAGTTTCACACTTGCCGATGGCGTCTGGCCCAGACGACCCGACATAGATGGCTACATCCAGGCAGCAGGTACCACATTGATTGCCGATGGCTTTATTGAAGAGATCGGGGTGTCATGTGTATCAATGTATGCAACGTGGCCCTCACCGCAGCCTGGTGAATTTCATATGGTGCTTGCCAGAGGACGGGCGAATCGTTGGAATTAGGTAGAAGCGTTACGAGGTGACTCTTTCAATGTGGTAGGAAGGCTATGGTCAAACCTCTGTTCATACAGCCTCATTACTCGAAGCATCAAAGAGGGCATAAAACATTCTAATTATGTTGGAATCGCTCACGAAGATCTGAATTCGGAAAATATCATGACTGACGAACAGGACAGACCTGTCATCATTGATGTCATTGATGTCATTGATGTCATTGATGTCATTGATGTCATTGATCTAGGCGCTGCTCAGCGATTTGGGTTGGAGCTATCTCATATGGGTACACCTGATTGGAATGATGCTGTTTCGGATGTGGCAAGCAAATTTAATGATGAAATTGGCTTGAAGAGAATTGAGATGTGGCTGCTAAGCCCTGAAGTGAAGATGATCTAAGCTAGATCTGGTGTATCGTTAGCAATTTAGCACTGCTTCTTCGAGCCATCGGAGTAGAAGTAGTCCTCGTTGATCTTGATGGCATCAACGTGCCAGGTCTTGCCGTCGTCGGTCGTCTTAATGCCAGTCGAGGTAGCGCCAGTAAGCTGCAGAGAATCACCAAAGGTCTTGTCGGCCTTCTCGAGGGTGACGGTGACGTTGCTCCAGCCTGGAAGCACGCAGTCAGCATGTCCATTCTTAGACAGACTCCGTGGAGGGGAAATTCAAGGCTCAAAATTGTCAACTTACTGTAGCCAGCGAGGGTTCCGCAGGTGCCTTGGTAGCACTCATTGCTGGAATAGATGTAGGTAGGGGTCTTGCTGCTGGCGTCGACTGGAATCATATATCAGTATGAACTCGCTGATCGGGGAGGCCGAAAACAGTGCTTACGATCGGTCTGCTGCGAGACCATGGCGCCATTGATCCAAACCTTCTGGGTCACACCCTTTGAAGCATCGTAGACGACTAAAAGACGGTCAGTTCTCGGTACTAGTACACTCAAGGGACAGGCATCTCAAACGTACGCTCAAAGTCGACGTCGGACTTGAGGGGAATGGCGACGGGGTCCTGGGCAATCTGGGTGGCTGTGGTCTTTCAGTATACTCTTCCAGATAAGCAACTCGGATTATTCTAAACTCACTACCAGTGAAGGTGCTAGCAAACACGCACCACTCATTGTTTGAGGCAGGGCATCCGCTGTGAAAGATGTCATTAGTCGATGATTCAAAGACGGCTGGAACCCGGATGTCTCACTTAGCAACGTTATCCGGGGCCCAGTTCATAACAGGCTGGTAAAGGTTGTTGCTCTGGTCGCTGATAGAGTGGGAGATGCCAACCCAGATCGCCATCCAGGGCGAGTCATTCTTGTTGGCGATGACGGTGCCGCAAGGGGTGGACGGAGATATGAGGGAGTAAGTGGCCTTGGTGATAACACTGGTATCAGAGCCCAGGGTGAACATGTTGCCAAACTTCCACGCATCGTACTGGCCGGCAGCGACAATTCGCGCAGCGAGAAGGAGAGCGGCGAGGGAAGAGAATGAACGCATCTTGGTTGTTTTGAGAAAAGAGTGAATGAAGCAGAATGAGAGGTCAGTACAGCTGCAGAGTGCGAGGAGACAAGAAGAGGCCAAGACGCTAGGTTACATCCATCTTATAGTAGAGCTGGCTGCACTATTCATAGTTAGTAGAGAGTTATCAGGGACTCAAGCCTGGCCGTTTGGACGACTACTGTTTGCGGGCAATACTCGCCGAAATCAAATGAAGGGGGTTGCGACTGGGTTACAGCGGGTTTTCGTTGCGAGTATACGATGCCCGTTTAATGGGGTTAGCCATGCTGACACTTCTTGATTGGTTAGGCGGCAAATCGGCACAGATCTCAGCGGCTGTTTTGGAGAGAATTTATTACCTGAGCATGTTCGAAATCAGAGCCGCGACAAGTAAGCGTAATTTTGTGCCGGTGGGAGCTGCTGGTTTTGACGTGACGATCATCGCATGTCGCTGCAGCCCCGAACCTTCAAATTCTGCCCAATTACGCTTGAACTTGGATAACAATCTGTCAACGATTGTCAAGCTGGAATCCTCGCCCTATTGAAATCTGTTCCAATTTCAGATTTTACTTATTTATTGGTGTCCTCTTTTCGAGGTTGAGTCACTTGATTCTCGTCTTGTTGGCAAGTCTTTGTGTATCATACAAGCAAGCCTTCAACTACAATTTCGATTGTCGCTAAGAGTAACCGGTTCAGGTAACCGTTTCCTTCTCCCCTGCCCCGCCAATCGACATTTGGCATAACCAATACCAGGGCACGTCGGCTTAAGGAAGGTCGAATAATGATCATACAGCGTACCTTTTTTTCTTCTTCTTTTTGGCGGTACTGAGACACGACGGTAATGCCTGGAGTGATGAGGTCGCAGATATGCAATTATCGTTTTGTTGGTGGCCTAGTGTAATCAGCTTAGAAGCTTGGATTCTGGAAAGCAACACCACCGAATAAACTACTACATGCCGAGGAGCTAGCCGCTTCACAAATTCGACTTTCCTATCACTGCGTTCTCATCAATGCTTAGAGAAAAGTTGCCAGGAGCAGCATTTGAAGGAACTGCAAGGGGAAGGATAGTGAAGATTTGCTCACTATGATAGCCCATGACTGCTGTGTCATGTCTACGAACACCCTTCTTTTGTCCTAGGGCTTGACAAGATGTCAGTAGCATTTTCGACCGATCGCTAGTAGCCCCCGCGGCTGGTAGATATTCACAGTTGTTTGTCCTTCTGTCTTGGCCTTGATAAAGTGAACCTGAACCAACTTCCATGGCAAGGAGGAGGACGTGTTTGAAGAGCACATGTCGCAGTTCAAATGGTTAACTTTTGAGCAATTTGCTGCTTGGTAATGGTATATTCCTGAGCAGCCTAGCAGGTCGTGGTCAAGAATCCAATGGGATTGGCTAAAAGGTTTGCGAACTGGCTTTGCTTGACATGAACGACATGAGATATAGTTTATCGCCGTATTTAACTTACTCTGGTCAGGCTTCAGATACTCATCTTCTTGTAGTGCTCGGACTCCGACTTCCTCGGGTTCTATAGTACTCGAGTATGGTTCTCAGGATACATGTAGGTAACATGATTAGTTCACTTCATCCTGTTGAAGTCAGGAGGGAGATGTGAAGCTTCTCTTAGCATAGCCCTTGCCCGAATAGCTCGACTCTCCAACCAACTTTTTACGGAGTTTTCATTACTGTCAGTTTTGAGCTTGTTGACTTTGGCTTAACGTGGATAAATGCTGGAATTGTCATCAGCGCCTGCTGGACAGCAGCCCCTGGGAATCGATCCTGACGGATATTCGGCACGTTTATGGGGAACCCCGAATAAGCTTAAAACCTGGGATGCACACTCACATAGCCTTAAACCGACCCGTCTCCTCGGGATGGCTCAGTAGGAGCAAAAATACTACTCTGTCACTGAGTGAATCAATATCTGATTTATGGTACAATGCGTCCACCAACAGGACCGAAGGAACGGACCACCCGCCCCGAATCAATTTGGAACCAACAACGAAAGTGACTTTTCCAGCATTCTGCTATCACCCCAATTTCCAACACTAGCCACAGGTAGACTGAGTCCCTCAGGCAGCACCCTTGCAGCACTCACTCAACATCAGACGTCGCGCGCCACATGGCGAGGCGAACCGAGAGCGGACTTTAATTATGCAGGGTCCAACTTTCCTGACAGCTGAGGCTGATGTTCAATGCAGGTCCCATCACGGGGGCTTGGGAGCAGCTAAGGCTTGGACATCTCGAGCACTGAAGTACTTGCAAGTCACGCCAATCAACAAGCTTTATGATGGCGTCGTCCTGCCGATGAGGCCGTAGATTACAAGGCAGGAACACTTGAAGGTGGTTGAAGTAAGAAAAGTAATTCGTGGCAGTGGTAGTTAGTCAAGTTCCCCTCCTGCAGTGTTTGCCCAGAACGCCATGCCATGCGATCCAGATATGTAATCCGTACAACAAATCAAACGACCCATTAACTTAGGTATCTCATGCCGTCTTCGGGCTCTCTCACTTTACTCCGTCTCAATCACCCAGACTCATCCATCCCCATGTTCCAAGACCGCCAGCAAGGACAATGAACGTCAGGATACCCGCGCCAGCCTTATCCGCCGTCGTGATGGGTTCCGGCTCAATGTTATCCTTACTCTTACTTCCAGCATCAGGATCACCCGCCGAAATACCACCCGTCATATTCGTCACAGGCGGCGAGGCATCCTCGATGAGCAGACTTGACACAGCAGCCAAGACATTCATGACCTCACCGGCACCAGACGTCTTGTCGACGGCGGGGTCAACATACACTTGCTCGTTCCAGTAGAAGCCGCAGGTGCGGCCCTCGGTGCCGCCCGTGCACTGGTTGACGGCGTGCTGCGTAGACTCCTTGAGGACGGGCATGATCTTGTCCTTCATGAAGGGGGCGACCTGCGTGACGACGGACATCCAGCGGTGGACGTAGCCCTTGAAGGACAACATGTCGGCGGTGCATTGGCCCTTGCGACCCTCGCAGGCGAGCTCGTAGGCGGTGTTGTTGGGGAAGAAGTTGAGGAAGAGGGAGTCCGTCATCTTTTCGATGCGACCTTTCCAGACGTCGGAACCGTTGGTCTAAAGATGGGTCAGTGTTAAGGTCATGACTAAAATTTGAAGTTGCCCCAGAAGACGGTGAAACCTACGTAGTTGTACATGAATGCAGCGCCCTGGGTCAGAATGGCCGCGTTGTAGGAGAATTGCTGCTTGTTGACGTCGGTGCAGTTGTGCTCAACGTGGCCACCGTCGTAAACGTTCCAGGACTCGTGATCAATGTAGTTGACGGCCCAGAGCCAGTCCCAGGTCTTCTCGGCATGCTGCGCGTACGTGTCGTTGTTGGTGTATCTGGCGAGGCGGGCGCCAATGTTAAAGAAGCATCCGTTTGCGATGGCTGTGACGTGTGTTAGCTACCTCTATGTCCCGGAACCTCCTCCGATAATCTCTGGTTTCGCTCGGGCGGGGGTTCGCATACTGTTCTTGTAGTTGTATCCAGCATTGGAAAAGGGCACCTGCCATCTCAAACCTCCACCGCAGGTATCGTCGTGACGGTCAGGGCTCGCCTGCGTCGTCCACACAGCCTGCGCTAATGCGAGCCATTGGGGCTTCTCTTCGGGTGGGTTCGGGAACTTGTTCTCTGCGGCCAACATGGCGGACATGCCCCAGAAGCCCTGGTCGTCGTTACCCAGCGATGCGGTGTGGTTTGGCGGCATGTAGTCGGCGTTAGGGCCAGTCTGGTGCAGCATACCCTCCATGACGAGGTCGTTGTAGGCCGAGTCGCCTGTCAGCTTCCAGTAGTCGATATAAGTGCCCATCATGGCACCTCCTTCCCACCAGTAGTAGTCGCCCTTGTGCTCGGTTGGCGGACCGGGTAGGATACCGGGAATCTCGCCGGTCTGGTTGCCCTTGTACTGCTTGATGAGGTCGTATGCGAGCATTTTTGCTGACTTTTTGATGTTGTCTAGACCGTGGGGAAAGAGACACTGTCAGTTGTGGGAACGTTGCAAGATAATTCAGATGCATCTTGTGCGTGCTTGAGCGCGACGATGATGATGTGGTTGAGAGGTGCTCCGCTTGCTTACCAGTTGTGTCGATGGTGTACTGCGCGTTGACGGCGGGGAGGCTGCCGACGAGCAAGAGTGCCGCCGAAGCGGCTGAAGCGAGTGAAGTGACCATGGCGAAGAGCCGGTCTACTAATGAAGAGGAAGAGCGCTGCTGTGCGAGGGATCAAGGTAGGCGAGGTGTAATTCAAGATATCTCAGAATCGGGTGAAAGCGGCGGTTAAATCGATTTGTCGGTCGGAGCGGTTCGGGGCGAGAACGAGTGAATTGAAATGAAACCGGATGAGCCGATTGTGACGAGGAATGAAAGCCGTGGCGATGATTGAAAAAGTAAAAAGGTTTCGTCTATGAGGAGTGATCGTTCATGACCGGGCGGCGCTCAAGGTGAGAAGCAGTGAAAGAAGGCGTGGCTGCGGTGTGTTGCCGTCAAGGTGTCGGTCGATCGATCGGTCGGAAATTCGTGTTCGTTGTCGGAAGCGAGTGTTGATTTTATTTACTACGATTGATTTCCCCGAGTAGGTTTTTCGTAACGGTATGAGAAAACGAGCTTTGTAATGAGAAATGAAGCGAAGGTCGGAGTGTGATGTGAGCTGTGTGTGCGTGTTTATTTCGGTGCAGTGGAGGAATAAACGATGGTCGGGTGTGAGTTGGGGATGGTGGCAGGTAAGGTAACCAACACAAACAGCTTTGTCTTCACGCAGCTCAGGATCAGGATGCGGAAGGAAAAGGGGGGAAACAGGCTCTCAAGACCACTTTTTTCCTTTTCTCGGCAGCTCTGGGCTTTTTGGCAACACAGAAATGGGAATCAACAGACACACGGAAGACACACCACAGGAGGGCACAGGATGACGCGGTAGAAATCAGTCTTGGTGGCCGCCAAAGTCTTGGTATTCTTGGTAAAGTCTTGGCCTTCTGGGCATCGGGGCTGTGCAGCAAATGAGAAGACGCTGCCGAGCAGCACTCGAGCACCCTTCACAAGGTTCGACAGGAGCAAGGGCCCCCCTTTGGACCAAATAGACCAGATGGATTTCATGGGATGCCGCCAGTCTCGGGACTATCCATTCTATCCAAGGCTCACAGGGCGGGCGTGGGCGGTTACGATCCCCACGGTCCATGGTTTGCCTCTTCCGCCATCTGCAAGGGCAGCGGGCAGCACGAAGGATCGCCTCATGCAGCAGAAACCCAGACAGGCCGTTGAATGCATACCCGGAACACATCCACCGACTGAACCCCTATGGAGAGAACCATACTGCGTATTCCGAAGAGATGGATGGGCTGGGGAAAATGGGGTTTGACATGGTTTACCGCTTGATGTCAATGGACAATCGTCGCTGGCGGCTGGGAGCAAACGAATAGGGACGAACTGCGATTGACCAGACACATTTTGGGTTCAAGGACAACCCAAGAAGACGAGTCCCAGCGAGAAAGCACGCCAAAAAGCCTCTCTCAAACAGGACCAGCCATCCCTACCCGACAACGAACATTGCCAAGGCTCATTCCTCGCCAAATACGCGGGGACTCGGGAGTCTTCTCACTGCCCGTCATCCAATCTGTACTCCTTACGGATACAGGCTACGAGGGGATTAGGAGGGATTGTCACGACTCACGGGTGTCTTGCGCTCCGAAGGGTTAGGCAAGGGGATCACAGAGAGCCTTCAATGTGGATGTGCCCGATGCCTCGAATGCACAAAACGGGAACAGAGGCACGATGGGTTCAGGGGTCGCCTAGAGCTAAGGCTCAGCAGCGTCTTGGCGATGGCGATGGCGTCTCAGGGCCGGCGAGGGAGATTGACGTTGAGTGCGACTGAGAGGCTGAGGCCCGGTGGTGCTCTTTGAAGCGTCGGACAGAGTGCTTGGGTGGCCGCCGATCGTTGACTCGCGGTTTTGGGATGAGAAGCGATCTGCTGTCCGACACATGGGAAGAGCCGTTGGAGGGATGGACCAGGCCAGGTACGCGAACTTGAAGGAAAGGGTTTTTCGGATACAATGAAGGGCAACAAAGGTGAAAGGGATGGAGTGCCGGAGAATGCAAAGCAAACAAACGGAATCGAAAGCAGAACCAAGGCCAAAAGCAGGTATTCGTAGAGATGCAACTTGTATGTCGGTAAGAACTCAGAGGCGAGAGTTCGTGTCTGCGTCTCATCTCAATAGGCAAGACGAAAGTTAGTCATCTGCACCACCTCGGATGGCATGTCAGCTCAGGTCACTTTGGGCTGTCAGCTCTGCTCAGCTCACTCGCCTCGTGCGCAAGGCAAGCTGTCAGACCACAGCGGACCGGGTTGAATACGAATTATGAGACCGTGATACGAGTTACAGGTCCAGACCCGCGGGAGGATAATAGAATGCGAGCGAGAGGATGATAATGAATCAAGATACAGGGCATCCCGTATCCCTCTCTTCAAGCTTGGCCTTGACTGCATAACCAGCAGGCTTGGGCATTGTGTTGTTTATGTACGCCAAGGACCGATCGGTTCGGCCAAGGCAGATCACACGACGGTAGATGGCCGGACGCCGCGGGGGGGGGGATTATGAGCGTGTGCCACCGGTTGCCGTGTGAGCTGTCGGGCTGCCAACACATCGCGTGTGTTTGGGCGATGACAAGTCAAACTGGCGATCATCTTTTCCCAGACATTGGCTGGCTTGTTGTCTTGGGGAGTTTTGTAAGAAAGGCTTGTCAGAAGTGAGTGAAACTGAGGGTGAGAGTGAAAGTGAAAGTGAAAGTGAGAGTGAGTGAGATACTGAAATGAGTGGGGTGCACCTGCCTGTGGCCACTAAAGTCAGGTGAGCTGAGGAAAGAGCAGAGGGCGGCCAGCGGGCAATGGAACTTTGGAAGGCACCGATGGAAGGGATAGGCAACTGGAGAAGGAAAGAACACCTGGAGTGCTTTGCTGGAGAAGAAGGAAGCAACCTGCGTGCCTGCCCCTGGAAGGAAGGTCTCGACCGCAATTAACCTTAGTACCCATCCGCACTGTGTGTGTCTCCACCAGTCCCACCAATCCTTCTAGCGAAGCCAGTCACTACGCAGTGCCAAGGCTACCGGGAATTTGGATGGAACTCTCAATTTCCTGCCTCTAATAGGGGGCAACTGCACAGCAGATGCCTGACAGTGCAGCACACGGCCAAAGTGGGTACGGAGTACCGGCGCTTCACTGACCCATACGCAGTGTCCAATCACGTGCAGCTCCGAACACTGACAGCTTTGAGCCGCCAAGACCCCATCAAATTAGCACCACGGCCCACCAACCTCAGGTCTTCCCCTGTCTGACAGTGACACCACACAACGAGAATCTGAAAAGGAACGTTCCCACGGTGCCCGAAATGCCCGGACGGGGCATAATCAGTACGTACCTCGCACGACGTCTTCCCATCTTGAGAACCTCATCACACCTACCTACGGAGTAACAAGGCGCAGTCTGTGTTTGTACGAGTATTCGGACGGATAGGATCAAACATGGAAGTCGAAAGACCCAGGGCTTCTTTTTCATGTTTTCTCTCATCAAGAACTTCAAAGTTGAAGCATCGCCTGCGGTTCAACAGCCATCCCTGCGCCATCCTTGTCCAGCTGGCGAAGGAATCCCCCGAGATTAACACTCCCGCGATCCTTACAAACGAGCCTCATCGCGGGACCATGGCACGCAGGCCAAGATCGACTCGTGCTGCTCAAGTGTCACAAACTAACATCCTCATCAGACTTCTGCCTTCAGAAATGCGGCACGCCGGCTCCGTGCCTCCACCTCCGGATCGGGCGGCCGCCAATGTCAATGCCGAGACCTGGATATGCCGTGGCCCCAAGCCTCGGGTTTTAGTCTCAGCACATGGGGTTTGGGCCGTTTCGGCTGAAATAGTATACTTCTGAGCCTGAGCGTGTGGGATCTTTCGACCTATTCTTGCCATCGATCTTTCTACCCCTACTTAATTACATATGCATATTCTCTTGTGTGGCCAACTCATTGTAACTCATGATGAATATCAGCACGCTGTTTCTATCCTACTTACGAGTAACCCATACAGACTGGCAATGTTGCAAACTGTCTGCTAGGCAGATCAACCGCTTACCTAGAGGCTTACGTGAGATGCCGATCGTCTCCTATCAACGACGCTCGCCGGCTATCGCAGAAGACGGAAACATGCGTGTTGGCTGACTTGCACTAGGTAACTTACGCATGAAGGCCCGATAATGAGATATCGGTCAGCGAGCTGATGCCCCCAACATTTGATGTCTCCCTATCGCAACCATTGCATTATGTATCGCCATATAAATACTCTTGGCTCTCGATAACAAGCGTAGCCTGGTAACAGCCTACACCAAATATTTCCGAACATTATGGTTGCCCTCAACTGGGTACTCTTCGTCGTGGGCCTGGTCACTTATCAGCTCGTGAACCGATGTGCGCAACAGATTGTCAAACGAACCAATCCTGACTTCTACATGACGTTGAAAGCGGATAAGCATCGCAAGCTGGCTCCTTATTTTGTCTTCCCACTGGGCTTCTTCTTCACGTTGCTCACAACACCGATCTGCATTGCGGCATACAATGATACGTCCTCCGTCACCGACATCTTTGGCCTCGACCGCCCCTTCACTACCAACGGCAAGATTTGCCTAGCCTCCAGGGCCATTCTCTGGACCTCTGAGCTGCCACTCCTCAGCTATTCTCCAGAATACATCGCCCACCACATCCTCTCCCTCTCATCACTCGGTCTCTTCCTCATCGGCAAGGGCCCGAGACGACCTCTCTATCTAATCTACGCTGGCTTAGTGACGGAGCTCTTGTCCGACAGCGCCGTGTTAATGCGATTCCACGGCCGCACGCCGTCAAGCTCGCCCATACTCCGGAATATCCTCTTTGCGAATGTGGTTTCGATGGTACTGCTCAGACTTCTCCCAATCATCGCACACAGCGCGGCAATGTCGGAAACAAGAGCAGATTATCTCGGCGGGATCGCATCTTATTGCATTCACATATCCCGGCTAAGCTTTGTGCAGCTGGGGGCCCTGGGATACATCAACGCCAAGGCAGGCAGAAAACTCAGCCTAGCTCCCAAGGATACCGCGGGCGAACAATTCGAGAAGCCAAAAAGTTCGGTCGCGAGCTTAATACGACGTCCGATGGCCTTGGTTATCGGTGCCGCAGTTCTTGTTACGGCGCTGACCTTGAAAGAGCTGGATTTTGTCAAACCCTCGCCGTGGGTTACCATCGTGTCACGGCGGTGAAGTTTTTGTCCAGTACATGCACTCTGGATCGGATCGGATCGTCAAAATCAAGACTCGAAATGTCACGTAGAGTTGGGAGCGAGTTTGACCGAATGTAGTATCTTGAAGTCTGTATATGCATGCCCTTATCCAGTGGCTAACAGTATGTAGAGAAGAGAATATGTTACATGAAATGATACACAAGACACACGCTGATACATGCCGCTTATGCGACAGTGGCTCCCGTCAAAGTGAAGGAGTAGTCCAGGCCCTTGTTGGCATCGCTGCTAGCGAGCTGGAAGCCGTTGTACAGGATCAGAGTCTTGGGGGTGTTGGCAATGACCAGGCTGGCCTCCTCGCCGCTGGCGACCTCAGCGGAGCCGGCACCGTTAGTGAGCTGGACGTAGCGGACCGAGCTGGCGCCCTTGATGGCAAGATGGGCGGTGAACTCGCCGGCCGAGGTGATCTTGACATCCACCTTGCCGCCGGAGGTCGTCAGGGGCATGATGTTGGCGCCCATGTAGCGGGGAGCGCGAGCAGACTTGACCTTGTAGCCGTCGCCGGACTTGTCAACGTTGGCAAAGTTGACGCTGTCCTTGGCCTGGTTGAAGATCTCCTGGGCCTGGTCGTGGCCGATGTCGACGTACGCCATGTGGGCCCAGTACTTGCCGACGATCTCGCCGGCGGTGGTGTTGCTGGCAACGCGGTCGAGGGTGTGGAGAGGCGTCTCGTTGCTGTTCGCTTCGTACTGGAGCATCATCTGGTGAAGAGTGTCCTTGCCGAGACCGGCGATGTTGTCCGGGTTGTTGGTGAGGTAGGTCAGGAACGGCCAGGCCTGGTAGTAGTTACCAGAGTCGACGGTGCCGTCGACAATGACCTGGAAAGAGTCGCCAAGGACCTTGTTCACCTCGAACTCGGTGCGGCCCTCGGGGGACTTGTGCTTGGTGCGGGCGTCCGCGCAGAGGGGGGAGGTGTTATAGGTGTCGGCGACCCAGTTGGCGACCGTCTCCCACCAGGCGCCAGTGCGCTCCTGGTCCACCCAGGTGCGCTGGTGGTAGTGCAGGGCGTGGCCGTACTCGTGGACGGTGACGCCCGGGCTGGCGAGGTAAGTGTCGACGACCTCGAGCCAGCCGGCGCCGGACTCCTGCTCCGAGTGCATCACGCCGGCGGCGCCTTCAAGTTTGGAAACGGAATAGACGTTGGTCTTGTAGTAGGGGCCGTTGTCGGAGCCCTCGTTGAAGGAGAGTCCAGATGACCGCCAGCCGAGGGTGTTGACGAAGCACTCATAGGCGCCCTCAAGCATGGCGAGGGAGTCATCAGCGGAGCTGGCGCCGGCGTAGACGCGGAAGTGGGCCGAGTCCTTGAAGTCGCTGCCTCCGGGGCCGGCCTTGGTCTGGGCCTCGAATTCGGCGGGCTCAGCACGCGCGACCACCTTGGAGGCGCCTACCTGAGGAGCCGCATTGATACCGGTGGTAAGGGCGAGGAAGATTGTGAAGAGAAGTTGGTTTGACCTGGCCATCTTGGGCAACCTGTTGTATGTGTACGTTGAATAAAAAGAGCGAATGAACAAACGCGAACTAATGAGCGAACGAAGAAAGACAAAGGCTTTCTTGCAAAGAATGAAACTGTAGTAGTTAAGAACTTGATCGGAAAGTTCCTCTTCCTCGTTCTAAGAGCTCGAGGGATGCCATCTTTTGTAACTAGAGGTGCCAACTTCGCCAAGACTCTCTGGTAAGGATTATTTCCTCTTCGAGCCAAGACGTATGATGCAAAACCGGCAAACACACACACATACACAGTGACCAAGTGATCTGTGGATACAACAGCCCGCCTGGCCAGAGCCCACAGGGCGGGATCCTGTATTCTCCGTACACAGTTGGTGTTGGAAGGCGGATCGCGCTGGCCCATGTCAGTTGAGACTGGGCCCGTTCAAGGGGATTCGATTCAGTGTTTCTTAGAAAGTGCTGGCAATTTGCGATGAAACGGCGGGCAGAATACACCAATCAGCACAGTTGCGTATTGGCCCCTCGCTGGCCTTATTCGTGTTGTTCCCTGCATCGATCACCTCCAAAAGAGTACCCCAGTCTCACCCCTAGACCCGGGAGGCACAAATTTAGTAGAAATCTCATGATTGATGGATTTGAAGCTCGCGAGACGATCAAATATCTCTGTCTAGTCGAGCGTCTTGCTGCTGTAGAGCGCTGGCGTGCTGTGCAGGTCGAGTCTCATTTACCAAGGGAAGACCAAGATCGAGAGGTGTTCCCAAGAGGCAGTCCATATGCCAACGACGTTGATATTGAATTTCTCCGCCAAATCCCACACCTCGAAATGACGATGATCTCGTTCTCTCCGAACGTCAAGGTGCCCCTCCCAACAGCATCTGCATACTACGGAGTACGGATACATGTACCAAAGACGATGGCCTCATCCCACTCAGCCATAGTGCCCGTACTCCGTAACGTGCCACTCGCTAAACGCTGACAGAAAATGCGTTAGTCAAAAGATCCCACACGGACCCCATTATTCTCTGACACGCTTCCCTGCGCCCTTCCATCATGATTGGCGGCAATATATCCGCAAATGATTTAAAGTGATTTAAAGTACTCGGGAACTTCCCCTGAGTCTTTATGGTTAGTTTACACAATACTCCCGAGTTCTTGGGTAATGGTATCCGTAAGAAAGGCGACTATTTCTCCATTTTCCACACCTTCGCTATCGCATTGCAATACGACTGACCGTTTGTGGCACGGTGCCACTCAGCGCCCCTGAGCGCCGCTGTGACTTTGACCTGCCTTTAAGTCATATTCCTGTAATTTCTACCAGCAGCAACCCAATATCAATCGAGAGCATGAGAGAGCGTTCGTGGTAAACAACAAGCTGACTTCTGATACGGGAGCGAAATTGAGAGCATGAGGTTCTTCTCGTCGATGCCTGACATGCGCAGGTCCAAGAGCCAAAGTGCAACTGGACCTAGAATGGCAACTGATCGCGGACACTCTAGATAGTGATGGCAACTTAAACTCTATCGAGTCATGTCAGCTAGCAAAGCCCCTCAAATATCGGCTAGATTTGCTACGGGTTGTGGGTGAGGATCTTCACCAAAAGAACTTTGTCAAAGTGTTCTTTTTCCCTAATTTTCTTCCAATTCGACTGGGAATCTACAATGGTGTGAATTGTTATGGTTCTTCTCGAGATCTCATATCAATTCACGTAAGAAAAATATTGGACTTGGTCAGTATGCTTGCTTGCTAATTGCGGTTGTTGATACTAAGAGATTGCCAAGTCGGAAAAGATGGTGCAACGTAACTTGATTGACCCCAATCCTCGGTCCTTACATCTATTGTGCCAAGTCCTGTCTGTAAATGATGAGAGATTGGTAAGGCAGTAACTTTCGCGTTTAATATTACCCTGCGTAGTTGCGGTGGCGAGACCAAGTGCTTACAGCTTCCTTGAAACTTGGAGGTCCTCATAACTACCTAAGTCAAGTACTTCATTCTCCTCACAGACAACAATTTTAGAGGCTCACCAAGCATTTCAGTAGTATTTCATTTCTTTTATAATCCTTACCTTAAAATCTTGGTCGTTGTGCACTCCAAAGCCGCCAACGTGAAGTTTATATCTCCTAGAAATAGGGCTGATACATTGAGAATCTGTCGAAACATTCACTTGTACCTTGCCAATGAACATGAATGACTACTGGCATGCCTTTGACCCTTGAGGTCTATAAGTGATTGTAACCTGCTGGCTCCTGTGCAGACTTGACTTCTGGTTCTCAAGATGTGCGAGTTAGTGGAACGGCAGAACTTGTTCTCTGCGTCACTTTTAACACATCGCCACGAAATACAGCTTAATTCTTCGGTAACCCACAGGATCTTGTGTCGCTATTATTCTCGCTGCTGCTCCGTTCACGCAGGCGTTGTGAAAATTCCATAAACCAAGTGGATCTAGCATTTAGATAGAGCTCTTCAAACCATACCCAAGTTCTCCCTATATTCGAGTCCGTGAGATGGAGGCTGGAGTCAGCGGAATTCTGTTGGTGTCAGATGGCAAGGGCACAGTGTAACATACATGTAATCTCATTCGGCTCTATTCCCAACCTCAAGTGGCCAGCCTTTCATTGTCGCCAACATGACACAACGCTAAGCAGAAGCCGGGCTTATGTAGGCGCTGCACAGCACGGCCCCGACGATGAGAAACACCACAGCATCATCACCAACGACAGCGGCAGAAACCAGGTCAACATTCCGGACAAGTTTGCATTAACCTTAGAGACCCAATATCTTCCAGGCAAATAAGGACTCAGAACTAAATGTTTCAATTTGCTTCGGAACTAGGCGAGGTAGTTTTATGATCTAATTAGAACAATATCTATGGATTCGTAAGCGTGAAGGCGACATCTCCCGTGCTTGCGCCTCCTTTGCAGGTTGACTTGAAACTGCCACTAGGGCAAGTGGCCCTCGCAGCCCGAATGCACCCTTCCCAGCGGCCTTTGGAGACGTTAATGGTGGCTCCAGAAGCAGTTGGGTTCAAGGTAAATTTGGCGGTTCCCGATACGCCCGTGGTACTCTTTGGTGCGCCGCCGCACTTCTGGATGGACCCTGCTATGCCGCCGCAGATAGCCAGTGTAGCAACGTTCATGTCGTGGGTATCAATCTTGCTAAAGGAACTCTTTAGCTCCAGAACTTCAAGTGCGTCTCAGTGTATAGCATGTGGTGGATGCTGACTTACGCGGCCTTGTCTGTGCATGTGGTGCCAGTGACGGCTGCTGGATTGACATCCTTCGACGCTCGGATTTCCAAGGTGTTGTCACTCGCCTGCGGAAGTAGAGGGCTTGGCACAGCGGCAGAAAGACCGGAGAAAAGCAAGAAAATCGAGGCAACGTTGGCGATTAACATTTTGGCGTTGGCGGAGCGGTGTAATAGATTTACTAGATAGAGTTAGAATAGAGTTTCATCTACTTGGACCTGCCAAGATGAACTAGAGTTGGAAGATATGGTCGACGAAGCCCTCTGAACAGCAAACAGGTAGGTTGACGAATCTAGATGCAACGTCAGAAGGCCAAGACGGGTAATTTGTACGAGGCCAGAGTCAACGACTCCGCAAAGGCACTATCGCAGATTTGCGGCTGTGATGTGAGCTAGTTGTTCCAGCAGGGATGTACTTCAGACGACAACGGTTTCGGTCTGTTCGCTTAGAGATCTGACGAACTCTGTTGACACATGGCCAACGATAGCTGAGACCAAAAAGTCTTAATACGCTAAATAGTACATAGCTATAACTCACTACCTTGATCACTAATTGTCTGTAAACATCGCAAGCTTAAACGTTTCTCTAATCCAGGGCAGCCTGGAGAGATGGTCTAAAAGCGTCGGCTGCACCGTTTTCCCCATTTGTCTTGTTGTCTCCAATTTGATCATGTTGCCGTTTCAACTTTTGCCGATGTTTCGCACCATCCTTGCCATCCCACGTTCGGACCGGACGGCAACTCGGTGGGATCCGAAACTGGCAAGCTTATACCTGCAATAGAGAGTGACCAACGAGACGATATAAGCGACAGACTTCGCGTTTCTTCGATCTCCACGCATTCAGGCATACTCTAGCCGAATACACCATCGTTCTTTGGTTTGAATTCCACATGTGGGCGGTTGATGGCCGATTCGGGAAACTCTGCAGGGTCACTGCTCAGGATGCCCTCCATGATCGGCGCAGACATGCCCAGCTAAGGTTCACGATTTTGTCAGTCTGGATGTTAACACGAACAGTGATGCAGGAGTAGAGACTACTTACCGCAAAGTATCTAAGCTTCACAGCATGAATCATAGTAGCGGCCTTTACCGTCACCTTGAATCGTAAGACGCTCCATCCAAGAGGAGGGAGGTCATGGACTGTTACGAGGGCAGGGTCCTTGAGGTTGAGGTTGTTGGATAGGAGGTTGCCACCTACGAGAGCCTCTTCCACGCTCTTGTGCGAGAACCTCGCGTTCGGCTGTGCGCCGAGTAACCAAGCAGGATCTACATGCTTGTAGAGTGGTACCGTGTCGTTCAGATTGTTTTCAATAATAAGATCAACGACGGAGCCCATTGGGATACCTTCAATGACGGGCTTGCCAAGAGATTCTTTGGAACCAGACTCGTTGGCTCCCTGGAATAGAAGAGGCATCAAAGACGAGCGGAATAGCTGCCAAGGCTTCTCATTGAGGTAAAACTCTGGCACGTGAGCCTCCGTGGGCGATGCTTGAGAACCGGCAGCGAGATGGATCGTGAAGTCTGCGGCCTCTGGATGCGAACTCTTGGCCGAAGGAGGCGGTGTGGCAGGGTACGGCGGTAGGAACTGGCCGTCGACAGCCTTGCAGCCCTGGTTTATAGAACCATCCGGCAAAACACAAACGTCGTCGGCTGAAGCTGGCTGTGGAACCTTCATGGGCTCACCGTAGATAGGTCTGCGGCTAGCCTAACGCGTCCGCCGAGTCAGCTCGTACTTGGGTTATTGAACAGTAGACTTACTGGGTATCTCAAAATTGAGTAGGCCTGTAGGTTCTGCATCTGGCTTGTGGACGAGATGCGCATGGCGTAGTCTCCGGGCTCTGCCTCGAGTCTCACCAGAACGGTAAGCCTTCCAGCGCTAGGTACGTAAACAGCCTATCATATGTTGTCAGCTGTGTGCGCATGGATTGAAGAGTTCATATGTGATTACTAACATCGGCTTCTTCGGGAGCTACAAAGCCACCGTTGTTCGCAACTACAGTCAGCTTGTGGTTGTCGATGGAAACCATGACGGAATGCTCGAAGCCAATGTTGATCAAGTTCAACATGATGTAAGCTCTGCCTTCCGTTTCAATGATCTTGAACTAGAATCAGCATCATTCACGGCTGGCTTGTTTTGATAGCCAGACACTACGAACCTCATAGTCAGCCTCGCTTGGAGTGCATGATTCTTCGGGGAGACCAGGTGGTTGGATGCAACCTGTCTCATCCAGGTGAAGTTCGTTCAACTGCTCGTATCCCGGTTGGCGACAGTGGACACGGCCCTTACCTTCAAGGCACGGCCCAAGTCAGTGGTGGAAAGCTGCGATGGGAGTTGACTTGCTCACCATTGACGAGAATTGAATCATAGCAATAGAATTCTGACCCTTCAGCGCGCATGCGAAGCATTTTCCAGCCAGTGTCTCGGTGTTGGTGGTTCTTGATAGCGAGATGCCGCACCTGCTTCTCGGCCTCCATAATCTTTCGTAGCTCGATGTCATCTTTGGTGATGAGACGGTAGGGGCGAAGGCGAGATGGGCTCGGCGCTACATAGACCATACCATACAAGCCCTAGTGTTCAATGTCAGGTCGAGGTAAGTTGATGTTATTGCGGAGAGTTCGCCTGAAAAGGAAGATATAAAAGAGAAAAGAGAACATGTGAAGAAGAGAAGAAGTATGAAGCAGGCGGGAGGTCGAGTGTGCGACGTAGAAAGAGGCGTGAACCTACATCTGCAGACGCCGCAGTTGTGTGCTCAGCGTACCAGTTGAGGCCCCAAGAGCCACTCGTGTCAATTACGCTTGTGAAGTTGCCACGGGGAAGAATAGGGTACTATCATGTCTATGTAAGCTTTGTCCATGTGAGTCAGTGAGTTTGGTCGAACCTGCGATATTCCAGCGGTGCCGTCGTTCCAGCTTCCGGTTCTATGAAGTAGTGAGTTGGTTGTTATGACTAGACAGCATTGTTGGAGATGCCTTCACACTTACGCCTTGTGCCCAATGCCAGACCTATTTGGATGGTTCGATATCAGATCAGAGAGTAGCGCAGAGCTTGAGGACGTGTACCAACCAGTGGATGGAAGATTGAGCATAGACGTCGCTCTTGACTTTCAATGCGACGAGATCACCCTCCTCAGCGTACAGCGTGGGGCAAGGTGTCTGTCCATTGCAAACAAACATGACTCTCCATCGACCACCGTCTAATTCCATGTAAGTCAATGTCATAGGGCTGCTAGTAAGCCTGGCTCAAACCTGGGTTCATCCATCTCACTCCTGACTGAAGCGTGTACTCTCTCGTGAGCCTGTCTTGTTCACTGGGGGGTTGGTGGCGGCCCCAGCTATCGAGCAGCCCGCTGAGCGGGTACCCGCTTCTCCACAGTCCAGTAAGAGCAAGGAGAAACAGCGTGGACAGGCTAGAGATCCAAATGTTCCGAGTGTAACGGTTCTTCGACTTCCCTCGAGAAACGCCGAGTTGTGCTGGCTCAAGTAAGTGTTGTTTTGACTCCATTTTCGCGTTGGCCTTGGAGATGTCTAACTCACAGGATTCGAGAGAAAGCAAAGGGAATTTGCCCTGGGCAACTCGACAATAACAACCACGTGGACCATGGCGGCCGCGGAATTAGGATACGACATTTCCTGGGGTTCTTCCCGCCGCCCTGAGTCAGATTCGTAATCCGGTAGTCAGTTTTCTGACTACTAATCGCCCCTTCGAGAACGCTAGGTCTTGCCGTTGTCTTTCGGACCGCGAGTTTGCAACGTTGTAGCTTTTCCGAAGGTGTTGTGGCAAAGGGGCACGACCCTGTTTCGTAGAGCATTGCGTTGATCATGATTCGGCACTTTGAGGTCTGCCAGGGGTTTGCAACCGATCTGTATGGAGCCTCACGATAATTGGGACATTCGACCGAGCGTAGGGGCCTAGAAGAACGGGGCAGATATGCTGTTTGAACTCTAAAGTGACACTCCGCCTGCACTCCGTAAACTCCAACCGATTGGAAGCATGTCGAACAGGTCTCCTTTGCGTTAGGTTGCGGGAAAGCGGGTTGGTACCCCTGACTCGGTAAACTCTAACGGTTGCATCGGATGGTTGTAGGGATACCTGGACGACAGAAGTCCGACCCGGGAAGAACGCCGTAAAAGAGGTCAAGTTGGGCACCGTAAAGAGGAGTGCCGGGTAGTCTTTCGAGCGATTTCCTCTGCTTCTCTCCGGGCCAAGAAGACAGTCATGGCAGCTCTTACGAAGTGCGCAATCTTGTCTTTGCTCGCCGGCGTGAGTCTGGCAGCTCAAACGAGACGGTATAATTTTACCATCACGAACAAATGGGACGTTGGAGATGGACATGGCCGACCTGTCTTTGCTATCAACAATGAGACACCAGGGCCCCTCATTGAAGCGGAAGAAGGCGACGAAGTCGAGGTCTTCTTAGACAACCAGCTGGCCTTTGAAACGACCATGCATTGGTATGTGTTCCCCATTCAATCCACAATTGTGGTCTCTCATCCTACCTAGACTTACATACAGACAGGCATGGCATCTACCAAATCGACCGACCCTGGAATGATGGAGTCCCTGGCGTAACACAATACTCCATTCAACCTCGAGATACCTACACATACCGCTTCACAGTTCAGCAACAATACGGGAGCTACTTCTATCACGGCCACTTTGGACCTGCGTTTGCCGATGGCATGCGAGGGCCAATATGGATCGCACCTGCTGAATGGAGGCCAAGACCTTACGAGTTGATATCATCATCGCCAGTTGATATTGAGGGCATGAAGCGAGCTGAGAAACATCCAAAGCATGTTGTCATCAGCGACTGGAATGCCGAGCCCATGGACATCTTGCTGATCATGTACCGGGATACTGGCATTGTTCCGTGGTGCAGTAACTCAATCGTTCTCAATGGCAAGGGAAGGACAGTGTGCCATCCAAGAGAACTGATTGATGCGGTGGGAGGTCCAGGAAGAAACTCTCTTGGTTGTTTACCTCAAAATGGCCAGAAGGAATATGCAAACGAGCAGACTTGCCAGGCGATGTTTGCTGATCTGGAGATATTTGAAGCTGAAAGCGGCGAAGAATGGATCTGGATCAACTTCATCCATTCTGGCGCGCACCATGAGCTGCAAATCAGCGTGGACGAGCATGATTTCTACGTTATTGCTGCTGATGGAGAGTTTGTTCATCCTCAGAAGGTTCACGCTGCCAATTGTAACCTTGGAGAGCGCATCAGGTGAGGAAAATACTTGGTTGACAATCCCGTTGGCTCCAGATAGACTGCTAATAAGACTTACGTAGCATTCTTGTACGTCTCGATCAGAAGCCTGGGGACTACGCCATCAGATTGACATCGCTCCGCCCAGAGCAAGTCATTCAGGGCTTTGGAATCCTTCGTTATCCTGACCAAGGCAGCGAAGTGAAGCAGGAGGTACCCGACACCAAGTCTTGGGTTCATCTTAACGGAACTCTTATCTCGTCATCATCCGTGGCCATGGATGAGACCAAGCTTGCACCCTATCCTGCACGACCTCCTCCACCAAAGGCAGACAACACCGTTAGATTCTTCGTCAACATGACGGGCCCCAGCAGCTGGGCGTTGAACATCGGCCCTCACCAGGCTTTCCGTCAGCAGCTTCCACCCTTGCTATGGGATGAGGAGTCACGTGGCGAGACAACCTACGGAGACAACACTCAAGGCGGTGCGCTCCAGAATGGAACCGTCGTAGACATCATCTTCGAGAACGGTGCCAATGTCACATCTCAACATCCATTCCACAAGCACAACAACAAGGCTTTCGTCATCGGCACTGGTACTGGTGGCTTTCCGTGGCCAACAGTCGAGGATGCAATTCGCGAGGGTGGAATGGCGAAGCACTTCAACCTCGTCAATCCACCCAATCGAGACGGTTGCAGGCTCGGAAATAGCACCGGAGACTGGACAGTCATTCGGTACGAGATTGCTTTCCCTGCCGCCAGCATGCTTCATTGCCATATGATTCATCATTTTGCAGTAAGTCAACGACGTTCAATCAAGCCCTCTTGCAGATTGTGAACCACCGATGTAACTAACCTTATCTTAGGCTGGGCAGCAGGTTGTGCTACTTGAGGGGGTCGAATCCATGGCCCAAATCCCCGCAGAAATGAAAGACAGAGTACATTCAGACTTCACACCACCACTTCGGTACGGCCCATTGGACTGATTACACTTTTGCTGCCCAAATTACCTCGTGTCAACCATGCAAATGCCACCTTCTTTCTGCGCTCAGACGGGTTGTTTGGGCGAATATTTCATCGCGCTTGACAGGAACAACGAGCAGGCTGGGTTTTGCTTGGTTGATTGCCGCGGCATCCGAGGGGAAAGACCTGAAGCGCGATTTAAAGTTTGTATCGAGACAGGGCATGGAACATCACAATGAAAACGGAATTCATTTTCCATCTCATACTGTCATACCTTGCTCTGACTGGTCAGACCAGTCAGTAACAGAGTACATGCACGAATGAGTCCAATGGGAATGGGAGTCGCTGGAAGACTGAGCCCATGTGCCGCGGTTGACAGTGATTTCTGGGCACAAACAAGTGTCATCAGGATAACTTCCTATCTCTCAAAGGGCACATTGGCTCCGACGGCGTTCCCGGCAAGACCAAGAATGTTGCCCCCGGGAGCCGCGGTCCGAATCATTTACCAGACCCTTGCGCTTCAAAGTGATCACTGACCAAGGGTGACTGACGCATATGGTTTGCACTCTTTTAATAAAAATTCAAGCTTTTTCGATTGCTGACATGTTCACCATGCGTTTTCCTACTCTGTACACGAACCTTTGGCCAAAGGCGACGCACGCTTTAGCACTTCTCTGTGCCTTTTGATATACATGCAAGACGTCTTCTCGTTCCCCAGGACTCAGGAAAGTTGTTCTTGCAGCAACAGACGGGTCTTGTGTCGTCCCTGTTAGAGTATCTCCATTCCTGTTCTCTGTCTTTAGGTCTTCCCTGTGTCTCAGGGAACCTACGCGTCGAAGAGACCCCCTCATCTTGCTAAAAGTATCGGTGGTTGAACTTCGCCTGCTGCCAGCCCATGATCCCTGAGTGAATGAAGTCCGAGCCGTGCTAGGCGAGTCGTACGATTCTGAGAATGTTCCAGTTGTTGAGCTCCTTCTGCTCCGCCGACTTGATTCCGAGTACGAAATCTGCTCGGCATGAATCATCAAGTCTTCATATCGCAGAGAAGGAACATCGGGAGCATCGCGGCTCAAACTCGCTTCGCGAGGGGTAAAAGAGAAGAGTGATACCGAACGAGAAGGGTAAGCTGATACTGATTGAGCATCAGAATTGTCGTCAATTATCCCCTCCACATCAGTTTCGCGAGAGATGACTTCTTTCTCCTCTGAGATTCTAGGAGCCAATTCGGAGCAAGCGTCGAGTTCAAAGCGACGGCGTAGTCTATCAACCGAAGTTCTGTATGTCGAAGCAGAGCATTGACGAGGGGTGTCACTCTCTTGGAAAAGCGGCCGAGGAATATCGCAGAGTGTACATATGCAGCTTGATACGGATTGTCGGGTCGGAGGGCTGCTTGGAAGGCTAGTGCTGGCGTCAGATACCACAGAGCATTCGATGGCACCTAGCCTGCCGTCAATTTCATCGAAACGAAGCTCTAGACGATTCAACTTCGTGAGAATGATTTTGAGAGCTTCTTGATTGGCGTGCGGATGCGTCATGGTGTTTGATAAAATGGCCAGTAGGTCCTCGTTGATCCACTGGGTTTCGCCCAAGTTCACAATCCGGGAAGGTATCAGTTATTAACTTCTTTAATGAGATTGCAAATACAGCATGACATATCACTCTTCAAATCTTCTTCCCGCAGACATCGACGAATGTGTTGATCTTTGATCTACCGTCGACAACAAAGAACCGCTTCCATACAAGTCGTAGACTCGTAGATCCCCTAACGCCAAGAGACCAATGAGAACCTCGAGTGACGACACCAGCAGTTCTACTATTCCGAAACCCATCAGATTTTCAAAAAACGCACCCAAACCAGGGATTCAAGCAATACTCACATGCTGCAGGGTTCTTATATGGTGTCATGTGAGACGGGAGCGGAAGCTCGCTTGCTGTCAGTTTTCTATCATTATCGGAGCTGGGGTAATAATCGCGCCTAGAGGGAGTCTCGTTGATCAATGTCTCAGATCGAATCTCTTCCCATGTGGCTTAGCGTGTGAGCTCACCAGTTCCATTCAGTCACCACGAGACTCCGGCCTGGCCGATTACAAGGACCGATTCCAGGGCGGAGACCGAGATTGAAGAATCGAATGCTGCTCATGCCAAAAAGGAGTAGCAACTGTAGCATCAATACTTGGACACATCGGTAAATTCTAGTTGTATGGAAAAGGCACCGTAATCGACGTGAAGGCGATGATGACCAGACCCTATCTAACTACCTTATATAGGAGGTTAAACGTACGGTCAGCATTGGGACCCATGCAATATCACCACGGTCTGTTATCTTGATAGACAGAGGGGCTGATTGAATCAATTGTGTCACTTACACAAACCATGCTCTGGTGGTTGTCTGGCGTTCGAGCTGGTGAATGTTCAAGGTACTCAATGACCTGAATATGGTCTCCATCAAGGTTCGCCCAGCTAGTGCGCTGGAGTCACAGGTAGAGGAAGATGAGGGCTTCAACGCAATGTGATAATAGAGTGATCGAAAGACGGATTATCTGGGCAAATGCGCTCTTTTCGAAGCTTGCGTACAGCATGGTGTTACTGACAATCCTATGGGTCTGGTGGGAGGCTATTCGTATGTCACTTTAGTCAAATTCAGTGCACTGCTTCACCCTCAGGCTTGTCTGACGCTGATATCTCCGGCTCTCACTCAACGCGAATGGGTCTGTTTCTAACCATGGTTAATTAGAAGAACGTCTGATACCTGGCCCTCAAGATTCTCATCGTTGTCATTCGTCGTCGATGCAAGCGTTCCCGGCTCTCGGTCTCAAATTCCTTTAGCTATCTTATGATACCTTCTGCTACCTTCATGTTACCAAGGTTGAGATTATGCTCTGTACCAAAGCATATTGCACATATCTGGCGTGAACAGCTCAAGATTAAATAGCACTATGAATGAAAGACTCCCTACTGGAATTTGTTCCGGATCTACCAATGGTGACGAGCTCTTACTTTGTGAGTAAGCTTGACCAGCGGCATTGTTCCATTAATATCAATCATACGGCTTTCTCGGCCAAAATCATATCCTAGAGTTGCATGTGCCCAATAGTGCAGCACGTACTCGAGTAGTATCGATTGTATTCTACATATGTGCATCAAGAATGCCCTGGCGCCTTGTACTCTTGCAAGCGGAACCGGCGTTAATAATTGAAAAAAAAAAAAAAAAAACACCCCATCAAGAACACCGTCAAATTATGTAATTTGGGCTATCTTGGCGAGTTCCCAGACGTTGTGTCTGATCCCAAGGTTGCAAGTTGCCAGCAGCTTCGTCTTTGATGCCCTTGTGACTTCAACAATATCGGATATCAGGGAGAGCGTAGTTGACAACGTCAATCGGCCATTGAGGGTCACTCCAATTACCCGCTTACATCTACTTCGAGAGAGAGTATCCACCGCCTACAGCTGAAGAGGTTGATGGACTACCCCATCGGAATGGCTATCCGGGCTCAACTCGACCGCAGCAGTCGATCATCCCCGCTGTCGCTGCGAACGATTACTTTCGTCGTCAACGTTGTAGCAAGAGCTCACACAACAGAATGCATGAAGAGTCGATCGTCTAGAGTCAAAAGACTTTAGTGGAACTCTTGGGTGCCTATGCTCGTACCTCGCATTGATCGATTTATCTCGTGATTCAATTGAATGGTCTATTCACGGAGTGAGAATTTGTCTCTCGGCAGCCTAAGGGCTATCTGAGAAGTTAGTATCGGATAGCTGAAGATCGCCGTGTTGCCAAGCACGGTGGACTGCAAATAGTCCCGCGCATCCTTGTAATCGCAATGGTACATGTTTCTCTCAATTGAGGCAGACTAAGTTTCGAAGCTATAAGCGCACCACGGCAGGAAGTAAACGGGCGCGGCTAGTGCCATGGCAAAGACTTTGAACTGGATTGTGACGTCAATGGTCGCTTATTCGCAGCATGTTGAGTAAAGAAATCGCTGCGTAACGATCATGCATGTGCACCGCCTCGAGAGGCTAGGTGTTAAAATGCAAAAATACGCGGGGCAAGACTATCACGCGCCTACGGAGAAACTTGGAAGTGGATGCTGCGCGAGCCTCGAGTCCCATTGACAAGGGATACAGATTGGGCGAATACGGGGTAAACAACGATGTCGTGGGAGATGATAGGATTCTCGCAGGCCTCCTCGGTGACAATGACCGGACGAACCCCACAGATTAAAGTAACAACGGTGGCACCAACCCCCGGACATGATGGCCCAAGTGAGAGAAACTGGAGAAACTGGAGAGAGAGAGAGAGAGGGGAGAGAGATCTTGGCTCGTCTGCTAGTGCGAGCCTTCGTTTACTACCCCGCCATCTCCGCCGGCCGTTGCTCTCTTTTTTCTTTTCGCGCGCCAATCCGGTGTAACCTCTCTCAAGCAAGGTACCGGTAGTCAACGTCGACATCGGGTGCCCTCGCCCGTTAGCTGGTCTTGGCCTCTCCGCATTCTCAGTGTTGTCTTGCCCGAACCGAGCACCGAGATGGAATGATTGATGGGGTTTACTTTGGGTTGCTGCCGGATCGTCCCTGGCTGCTCCTCTTGACTCGAGCATCTTTCGACATTGTGGCAGAAAGCGCTCCAGTTACAATCGAGCATCTTGTCTTGACAGCATCCACCGGGGGCCGCACCATGCCACCAATATGCCTTCCCGCGTGGATCTACCCCAGGAACGCTCGGGAAAGTGATGATGTCGGCAGTCTCGCTGCGACCTCATATACGTCAATGTCACGGCTCCATGGACTATAAAGACGCGTGAAGCTCCCCGTTGGAAGGCATCATGTAGCATCCTGAAGCAAGGCACCATCTTCCAGTCAAGACCAGCAACGGAACACACAATGTTGTTCTCCAAGATCGTCTCCGCCTCACTGGGGCTCTTCAGCCTCCTCGGCTCGGCTGCCGCTTACACCAACCCCATCCGCAACCCCGGAGGTGGTGATCCTCAGATTTCGTGGTTCGATGGGTACTACTACTTCATCTCGACCGAGTGGACCAACCTCCAGCTCGCGCGTGCCACGACGATTGAAGGATTGAAGACGGCCACGCCCAAGGTCATCTACTCCGACTCGAACCCGACGCGATGCTGTAGCGTCTGGGCTCCCGAGATCCACTACTTTGACGGTAGATGGTACCTCTACTACACCGCCGGTAACGACGGTAACTTGGATGGACAGAGGATGCATGTCTTGCAGGGTAAGTGTGGTGCTGTGTAGTTAATAGAAAGAACGTATGCTTACAATCGTTTTCAGGCGGCGCCTCTCCCTGGGATGACTGGTCCTACGCGGGCCGTGTCACCGACGACTGGTCCCTCGACGGCACCGTCGTCCGCTTCAACGACTGGGGCAACTACTTTGTCTACTCGTGCATGACAGGCGTCCCAAACCAGTCCGCCTGCGTCCGCAAGCTCAACGACGACTACATCTCCGCCTCGCCCAACATCACCATCATCTCCCAGCCCGACCAGCCCTGGGAGCAGAGCGAGGTCCCCGTTCAGGAAGGCTTCTACGGTCTCTACTTTGGCGGCAAGACGTACATCGCCTACTCGGCCAACTACTGCTGGACGCCCGACTACTGCGTTGCCCTGCTCGAGTGGGACGGCGTCACGGACCCGTCCTCCCCCTCGGCCTGGACAAAGAGCAATGGGTGCCAGCTGACGACGGCCAACGGCAACTTTGGTACGGGCCACAACAGCTTCTTCCGCAGCCCCGACGAGACGGAGACGTACATCACCTTCCATGCCACGGCAAATGCCAACGGCGCCTGCGACGACAGCCGCTATGTCATGGTCCAGCCCATCACCGCCAACGCAGACGGCACGCCCAACTTTGGCGTCCCGCAAGCTTCCACTTACGAGTGGGCCGAGCCTAGCGCGTAGGAACGTTGTGAGCTAGAGGAGAGGGGAGAAGACGGGGAAACGCGAGCTAGGAAACGCGCGAAGCTAGGATGTAGCTGTGAGGATAGATGGGCGGATTGTCCCGGTTCGGCTGTATATATAACCCGCCTACTACAGGGTAGTACATGAATCAACGATTTGACGAGTAGAACATGGAGCTGCCCGAACTTGAAGCTATGACAAGAGTCATGCTCCCCAACTTTGATTACCAATGCGGTGAGTATTGCATTTTTCGCCTATTTCGGGACATGATGGTCTGTGTTGAAGCAGCGAAGCTCTCTACCCCTCCATCTTTGAGGAAAAGCCCGGAACCAAGTGCGTCATCGTCTGTTCTTTCGCCCGAGTCCATGCGTCCGAAAAAGAGCAGCCTCTTTGACAAGGAAACATCAATGTTTTAGTACAATGTTTTAGTGTGAAAAGACCACATGGAGGACGGGGTAGAGTACAGGGCAATACTGGGCGAGCCAGGGTAACGAGACAGGGTGCGGCATGCCAGCGACGGCCCAAAGTATTTGACAATCCATCCATCCCCGGGGCGGCGGGCGGACGGGAAGCAGGTTGGGTTGGCTCAGCCCCAAACATTGTGAGCCGGAAAGTAGTCCATACCTTGGCTAACAGAACCTTGGAACGCAACGTCGGGAAG